TGAACATTGTTATTTCGGCCTGACACAAGGATAATAAACATCATAAAAAGCTGTAAAATCTTTGCAGAGATTGAACTAAGGAAAGGTGATATTAAGATTAGTAGATGAATATAAGAAATTGAAATCAGAATAAATGCATGGTTATCCTAAACATCGTCCAGTTTAAAGTTGAAGAAAAGTGGGGCTTTATTGTCACACCAGCCATGGACAGTAGCACAGAAAGGTCTTTCAGAGGGGGAGATAAATTTACTTTTGTGCTTTTTACTCTGTTTATGAAGAATTTTAAAAAGTGATATTTAAACGAGGGCAAGTGAGAGAGTTGACTGTGGAGAAGAGAGACTTCTGGATTATGATTGTTTTTGGAGATGAAATGTGTATTTTGTTCTTGCTGTTTTAATAGCTTTCTGATATCTGGAAATCCAAAATCTAAAGCTTCTCTTGCTTCCATTTACACTCAGCTTCTGTACACTCTCTTCTTAGGGCTCTAAGCGTTTTGTTAAGCCAAGGCTGTCAGTTTAAGCTTTGTTACTTTAAGCAGCCCAGTGTTAAGTATGAAGGAACAGGAGCTAGGTGTTCAAACGGGAGGTAAGGTCCTGAGTACCAAGATCGGCTGGAGGGTTCTCAGCTGTGGAGCCGCTATGAAAGCAACGGGGAACATAGTACCAGTGAAAGGGTTAAGACTGCAACAGCAGAAACTAGGGAAGACAGTTATAGGCTGGATAACAGGGAGGGAAATCTCAAAGACAATAAAGCTATGATCTGAGAGACAGGGATCTATTATTTCCACGTTTTGAATCCTGAGACCCTGGTGACAGTACCAGGTCCTGATCATGACCTTGTTCATGAGTGGGGCCACTATTATGCTGGGTCAGGTTAGTTGATTCAGTCAGATTTATAAATCTGCTAACAAGAGGTTTGGAAGGACAGCAAATATGAATACTGAAATCAAGAATTAGGACTCCGGGACTATAAAATCTTGGCATGATCAGCCACAGGAAACTGTAAATGAATACAATGGAATGCTTATTTGAATTAGGTAGGTGGTATATGAAAGGCAACTGTACAGGATTAACAGATTCCACTGTAATTGGCTGTACTTCAAAACTGCAAAAACAGCCTTAAGTCAGATGGCAATAAGTAACCTGCTTCTTAAAAACCGCTGTCAGCCCCCACCACACCCAGGGAGCCTTGGGGTGTTAAACAGAGACAGCGTCTGGTGGGCACAGTTCAACAAGTGGGTCTGAATAACCAGGTCTTAGGCAGGTCTCAGTTACCAGTAGAAAGTCTAAAGTGCACTAGGTGAGGAAGTCATGCTGGATAAAAGTCTAATTGGACAACAACCTCACATTTATTAACACCAGCTTGAGCAGATTAATATGATCAGTATGTACAGTACCTGTTATAGATGAGGGTGGAGGTATCAACGATCAGACCTGCCCCATCGAGAATCGAGATCTTCACCAGGAGCCAATGGGAGATTGTCTGTGGGCCGGAGATGGGCGACACAGGTCATAGAGAGGAGTATTTCACCTCCAGGGGGTAGCGAGAGACTGAGGGACGCCGCCTGAGCTAGACATCATGCAGGCAAGAAAACAGGGGGTGTCCCAAGTGATGGTGAAGCGTGAGCATGCCTGCTTCACCTGTCAGCTCATCTTCTCCATTGTCAGTATCCCCGGATATGATGTGTACCTGGATAGCAGTGGAGGATCCAAGAACACATTCCATGATTTCCCTGCACAGGAGTGAATTAAGGAATCACAGATATTCAGTAGTGTTTGCTTATTGCAGGGAATAACAGTTTGAGTACGTTGGACACTGATATCAGCAAGGACAAGCAGGTGAAATGGCAGGTTGTGATGATCTTGGTCATTCAAAGATCATGTTTTTAAAAAATTAGTTTTGGAAGACCAGGCACACCTTCTCATACACCGGCTATCTACGAACAAGGGTAACAATCTTCAGTGTGCCACTGGTGGGTGTAGCCCTGTTGAAAACATCACAACCATCTGCTTAGGAGATGGCCAGCGATGAGCTGAAGCAGCTGAGGAACACCTTGACCCAGGAGGCCATCCGGGAGCATCAGATGGCCAAGACTGGCGGCACCACCACTGACCTGCTACAGTGTGGCAAGTGCAAGAAGAAGAACTGCACATACAACCAGGTGGGGGCTTTTAACTGACGCCAACTGGGCTTTCACTGAGCCTGCAGAGTGTCTAAGGAGGCCTGATGACACTTATGATCTCACTCTCCTACTCCAGCAGTCAGTCACTTAGTCTTATGTTACTTCTATATCTGTCAGATGCTTTTAATGTGACATACAATTGAGAACGCGGGATCAGCCAGTCCCTGGAGCAGTTGGGGTTAAGGGCCTTTCTCAAGGGCCCAATAGTGACATCACTCTGCCACCCCGATGATTTGAACCAACAGCCTTTTAATCACAGGGATAGAATCCTAACTTGCAGAGCCACACGTTTATTTTATTCAGTTACCTTTGGTTTTTATAGTTACGTGTTATTAGTATTACCCTTACCAACACCTCCAACTTTATGTAATCTCTAAGTTTATCAATGAATGAGCACTTACTGTCTATCTTAACTGCCATGAAGGTGTTGAATGTTAACCCCCTGGGGCCTGAGGCCTTTTTTCCACTTTCGAGGTAGTCTGACATGCCTTGACATTTTAAAATATTTCACCTATCTAAAAAACATTTATCCCAAAGTGTTACATGTGCTTTTATTCAGCACCAATAATCTAAGACCAGTTAAAGGTGCCCATTGCCTTGTGTCCCATCCTTGGAGGGGGACGTCACCACTCAGCCTGTGCTCCTCTCTGTACTGTACCTGTACAGGTGCAGACTCGCAGTGCTGATGAGCCAATGACTACCTTTGTGTTGTGCAACGAGTGTGGGAACCGTTGGAAGGTAAGGTCACCTTCAGGGCTTATTACAACTTAGGATCCGAGTAGATTTTGTCACAATTTTATCTTGTGTTTTTTTTGGAGCCACACACGAAATTGGCACCGTTCTGTTAAGGATGGTTCATTTTGCTTGCTTTCAGAGTTATCGTTTACCCTTGTGATATCAACATAGGTTCAATTTTATGTTTCGCTCAGGTAATGTTGTGCATTTTTCCCCCCCAGTTTTGCTAATGAGAAACCAACAGGATGAAAATCAAGCCTTCAGTCTGATCACAGAAATAATAATCACTGGACATTTGTTTCTGTCGGGGATAGCAAAAATGTAGTATACAGCATGATTTTACAAGATGTAGTTAATCATAATTTGGATTTATACCTGGCTATGAAAGATTTCTATGATCACTGCATGTAATTTACTGGGTAATACCTTTGAATTCCATTTCTGGAGTATTTTTGGTAATATTTTTAGTCCAATGATTGTAAAGTTGAGTGAATCGATATGTTACTGCAAATGTTGAAGGAAAAACACTTTTCATATCATTGTAAATGTCATTATCCTAAAAGTTGTTTAACTTGAATGTCTAAATCAACGAAGTGGATATAAAAAGAGAAACATTCAAATATTATGCCTTCAAAGATCATATTTTCCCAAAGGCTTTGGAAAGGCCTGGTTCGGCTTCACATGCACTTAGTCATTCTGATGGACGGCTGCCGCAGTGTGAGCAGACTGCGAGAGAGATGCCTTAACAGGGGGGATCATAATCAGACCAGAAATGTATAAAAATTTTGTATAAAACTGAAACAAATAAAGACCATTTTATTTAAAGTAGTTTGTCCAGATGTTTTCATAACAGTGCAGCAGAAACAAGATTCTGTGCTTGGAATTCACAGCTGTGGCCTCTACATTTTAGACATAACATCAGACACAGTTTATAGAGAAACCAGAGTCCTTTGGCTCAATGCATGTAGCACGAGGTTCTCTACACAACATGTGTCACCTTGTGTGGGCAGAGGGCTCAGAAGTCCTCCCTTCTATCAATGTTCTGTACCTGCTTATCCAGTAGAGGGTCACGGTGAGCTTGGGGCTCTTCCTAGGAGATACTGGTCCACCGCTGGCCACATGCTCACACCTTAAGCAGAATTTATAAGCATCAATTCACCTACATAGCCACATGTTTTTGGGTAATGGGAGGCAGAAGTGTGACTGACTCTTTGTACTCAACCGGTTGGTTGAAACAAAATCTTGGTCTGGATTTGTACTCCCTGGACCTGAAATCTCCACCCAAACCCACACCCCCAGCTGTGTGAGGGTCCAGTACAAACCACTGGGCCTCCATGCCTTCTAGTCAATGTTTTTCCATACTCATTCTATGATGCTTTCAGTTTAACTTTGTGCTAAATCCTTTAGAGAACTTTTAGCATATTTAATAAAAAAAAAAACCCACACTGTATGTTTTCTCTAATAATTCAGCAGTATATCTGCACACTGCTCAAGCACCATATTTGCTCTTTTTAGATGTTTTTTTTGTGAACTATGTTTACTTACTATCATCCTCAATAATAACAGCCTAGACCACTGAGGACTGCCGGAGGGTCCTTGTTTTTGCTCCCTTCCAGCTCTCTGCCAGTCAGTCTACATTTTTGCAAAAACGTGAACTTTTGGGGGTCTCCGAGGACCAGGGTGAAAAACACTGGCCTAGACACATGTATCATCTTCAATTGTTAGATCATTCAGGGAAAGTGAAATATGAATTATGCTCTAACCAGTTATTGTGCATGTAAACTGTATGTGACAGTTTCACAGTCACCAGCCAATTGTCCAGCTGAACTACAGATCACTGTGAAACTTGATATATTTGTGAATAATACTCCATCCACTATTTTTGCTAAAAATATTTAGGCAGCAAAGTTGTTTTAATAACACAATTGGTAGCACCTTTGAAATTATGATGTCCAAAAATACACGTCTTACGTAATCTATTCCGTGTGCGTGTCTGTGTGGGTACTGGTACACAGCATATTCTAGCAGGAAATCAAGCTCTTTTATTTCATGGTATGGACCACGCTGTTAGAAACACAGAGTTCTCATGCAGTCTGTTATTTTCCAGTCAGTCTAAGATGCCAGCAACAAGCACGACAAGTCAAACAATGTGTTCAAAAAAGCAGCCAGTCGTCCACAAAACCCAGGCACGCCATTCCAGAACTAGAATGTTACATTCCTTTCTCTTACAGAGCAATTCCAAATAACAACTAAAACTCCTGATAGGGTGTCCCAGCATTTATAAAGACCTCATACATTTACACCACAAAAAAAAAAGAACCCAGACAAAAGCTTCTTTATATCAACATTACAAAATCAACAGCATTTCTATCACACCTTTCTGTCGAGGTCCCCTACTGAAGCCACTTTCACAATGAACAATTGTGAACAATTTTTCACAAAGAAAAATTACAGCAATGAAGACCCACCAAGAGGTACAATGGTGGGGGGTAACCCTCAAAGCATCCTTCCACACAAAATCTATCACTGGGCAAGTATTAAACATTGTGCAGTGACTTAAGACACTTGTGACACAGATGGCTTTAAAATGAACTGTTAGAATACCACAGGTCAGAGATATGGGAGACTCATCTCAGAGTCATCTCTGTTATTCTTGGTACATCTGATTCCATTTGCCTCTTGCACAAATGTGAACTCACAGTTCTGCAAAGCCCGGGCACATGGGTCATTTTCCAGCATCCTCTCCAAAGACATCCTTGTAAAGTGCTGTACCAGCTGCATGTTCTTTGTAAGCTAACTAACTTAATTAAACCTCTTTCAGATAGCCTTCTTTGAAGGCTTTGGAAACTCCTTTCAGATCTGAAGTCTGGCAGACTTATCCTAATACAAATGGATCAAGGGTAAATAAACCCTTAAGTTGTACGGATTTCTCCTGCAGTGTTCTCAATAAGAAGACCTTTGCCTGACCGAGTACCAGTGACAGTGTCATCTGCACCAAGTAGAGGCTGGTCTACCAGCTGGCTGTCAGGGATTGCAGCAGACTGTTGACCCCTAGGTGTTGGAAGTTGGACTTATAGGTCCCAGGCTTTGCAGCAGGGACTGGTAGAGTAAGGAGTTAAGGAACCTGGGGTAGGAGTCACGGTGCATTAGGGCATAAATCTGAGCCTGGGCGTCATCAAAGATGTGAACTGTAGGTGCCGCCATGTTACCGTTGATGGTCTCCCGCACTGTGGCGTCGATGCTGACCTGTGGATCAATGCAGCGACATAGCCAATGATTCTAAATGTCATTAAGTTCTTTGATTACCAAATGGTCAACTGTGCTACGTTCTGCTCCCGCTAAAAGCCATTATGGTGATGCCATCCTGTTTTTGTCATAGATCAGTGATTATGACATCAAATACAGAACTTCCATGCTGTTTATACACAACTGAGCAACCATATTGATGAATAATGATGCATATTTTCCCCTACTTCTTGTGTCACTCAAGATAACGACTGAAATATAAAAGGGATAAAACAGTGAAATGCATATGTGGTGGTTCAGGAATCCAGAAGTTGCACTTCACCTCCTTGGGTGAGAGGATAGAGATGTAATCCAGGTAGATCTGCTTAGCCCTCTCTCCAATGGCTGTCCGCCGGGTCTCGGTCTTCAGGCTCTCACACGCTTGCCAGAAGAGCATGTTCTCGTCACTGTGCTCGGAGCACAAGAACTCCATGAAGATACGGCGGCCTGCAGGACTCTCCATGAGCGCGGTGAAGGACAGGGCCCAGGAGGACACCTCAGTCAAGCTCAGCCTGCCACTGATGCAAACACAAATAGTCACATGCTTAGTCCAGCAACCCAATAAGGATTGTACTCTTTAAACTAGCATTGAGAAGAATTACCGCCTTTAGGGCTACAAGTTCAAATGTGACCCCTAGCCCTCTGTGGGCACAATCCAAGAACAAGTGGGTCAAGTGAAAATGTCAGAGGTGGACATTTCATGTCTAGAAAGTAAAAATCCAGACCAAGATCTAATCTCAGCCAACCAGTTGAGTGGTTTATGGCTGTGACTCTTCATACTCGGTTCTTCATACTTCATACTTGGTTGAAACAAAATCTTGGTCTGGATTTTTACTTTCAGGACCTGAAATGTCCACCTCTGGAAAACGTTCATATAATTGCACCAACGGGACATGCTCACCGATCCCAGCAACCCCGACTGATTACATGGTTATTGTAAATGGGAGGATACATCATATTCATACTGTAGGAGCGGGTCTATGTCAATCATCATTTGCATGTGGGAGGTTGATAGGGTTTGCTTGGGTGGTTATGAGTGCAGGCTTGCACAGTACTTTCCCCTGCAGTTGTGTGTGTGTATGTGTGTATGTGTCAGTGGGTATACCTATCCTTATGGGGACACAATGTCCCCGTAACATGATAAATATCCGTTTTCTATAAAAATCGATGACTGCTATGAAAAAACTACAAATGCAAAAACTCTTGTATTTTGTTTGGTTACTTATGGTTATGGTTAGGGCTGGGTGGGGGTTAAAGTTGTCATAGTTAGCGCTGGCATTTTCCCCATAGAAGTGAATGAGCGGTCCCCACAAGGACAGGTATACCCGACATGTGTGAGCGTGTATTTTTACCTCTCATCAGTCCTCTGCAGGCTTCCCAGAGAGGACATGTTGGAGTCTCTCCTGCTGCAGGCCTGGTCCCGGCTCCTTGATGTTAGACTAGCAGATACACACACATGTGCGGACAGCTGTCAGCTCCTGTGTGCACATGCAGCCACAGCTGGAATGTCAGAGACTGGTGAAGCCACACGACAGACACACAGATGGTGGAATGATTGTTTCACTGGGGGCTGGAATCCTGCCCCTGTGTCCCTCTGTTGTGCTGGTTTCCTCCCATAAGCAGTCAGACGGATTGATGTTTCTGAATTGTACTTAGTGAGCGAAAGTGTGAGTGTCTGCCCAGCGGGGCACCAGTATTTCTGCCTCGTGCCCCGTGGTTCCTGGGAAGAGCCCCAGGCTCACCGTGACCCTGTACTGGACAAGCGGGTTCAGAAAATGGATAGAAGGGAGGACTTCCGGGCTCTCTGCCGACACATGGTGACAGATGTTGTGGAGAGAACCTTGTCTACATGCACTGAGCCAAAGGACCCTGGTTTCTCTGTAAACCGTGTCCAGAGGCCACAGCTGTGAATTCAAAGCACAGAATATTGTTTCTGTTGCACTGTTACAAAAACATCTGCCTAGACAAACTACTTTAAATGAAATGGTCGTTGTTTTAGATTTCTACATAATTTTATACATTTCGGGTCTGAATGTTTATCCTCACAGTATACTCATCCCGCAGCATCTGCTTATCGAAAGGGCTCTATGTGAGTCTGAGTAAAAAGCGCGCTTGAGACTGTGTATGTGGAGATGAAACAAGCCATTGATTTGATGTGAAATGTAAGATATTCATCTTACGTAAGATGTTCATCTTCCCTTTCCCTGGGATGGTCAGTGTTTTATTCAGAATGCATTTCTGATTAACTGTTGCTGTTTAAAGAGATACTAGCATCAATCCGAATCCATTCCTACAAGGATCCCTTCGGAAAGAATACTACGGTCTCAATGGGAATCACTGGCCAATGAGCAGGGGGAAAGAGGCAAAGCCATCGTTAAAGCAGGAACCAGTGCACTGGTGTCCACTGCTTAACCACGTTGTCATTTCTGGAGCAGCCCACCTGTCCTTGGTCGTCTCCAAGTCCCTCCCCTCAAATTTCCTGCTGTCACTCACCAGCAGCAGCTCCAGCAGAGGCAGCGGTGGTGCAATGCGCAGCTGCA